TATAGACTCATGCTTATATTTATATTGACACTAAAAATATATATTACTTAAAATATTTTTTTAAAAGTATTAAACATGATAATTGTTATTTATGATTTTCTTTAGTATTAAATATTTATAATGTAACGAAAAAAATATTAAGTGTTTTTTTAATAAAAAAAATTAAACATAAAAATTAATTGTAAATATAGTTTAAACAGTTAGTTTTAATATTAAAACTATCTTTTATAACCTTTTGTTTGAACCAATTGAAATAAATTACGACAATTACTTAATATTCAAAATATATTATAATTTCACAAATTAAACAATTTTAATGATTAAAAGATGATTATTTTTAGAGTATATTACATGCATGCTTTGTATAATACAAATTATTTTATTTAAATTTTTTATTTTTTTATCATTTAATTTTAAAGTTTCGTTTTAAATAATATGAATTACGCATCTAATTTTTGTAGATAATCTTTCAACAAAAATTTACATATACGACTCGAATATAAAATTTTACTTAAACGATGTCAACCTTCCCACATCATCAACTCATCGGTAAACTTTTGACTTTTTAATGAACGAAAGGAATCTATTTCGACGAAAAATGAAAATAAAAACAAACAACAGTTAAACCTCGCACCATATTTCGTTATACTAAGAATATTTAGTTGGTAAAAGGAACACAAAATCTTGCTTAAGAAGAATCACAGTATGATAAACGGTTGGTAAAAGGATAAACAAATCTTCCTTTAGCGCAGCAGTAATCGAATTTGACTTGAAAGCCAGACAAATTTTATGTATAGAAGGGAGGAATAATGAAAGAGATCAAGCAGACACTGACAGATACAAAGGCAAGGAAACCAACCACCACCCACCTTTCAAAATCAAAGCTTTATGACCTCGCATCCTATCCTCCTTCGCCTTAACGCCATTTGCTGTATTCTTTATGTAAATATTTTTCGTTTGTCCTTTTCTTTAAACAAATTGTAAGAGCATTTGTTTGTTTTCTGGGTGACGCAAAGAAAACAGTGAAAGGCGTTGTTCTTCAGAGGGTGGAAAATCAGTGCAATTCTGGGTTTGACCCAGCAATTCGTGGTAACCCAGGTGTGTAAATCTTCGTATTCTTTCTGAGTTTTTTTTAATATTTGTTTGTTTCATGGTCTTGTTTCTTTTCGAATTGTTTTAAAAGTCTCGAGCTTGGTCTTCTTGGTGTTTGAGAATTTGATGCAAAGATCTGTCTTTTGTGCTTCTTTTTATGAGTTTGATGAAAATAAAGGGAAAGTGAGTGAAAGAAAGACTGGCCTGTTTGATTGAGAACCTGGAAAATTTAGTTGATGCTCAACTAATGTTTCAGGATTTCATGGATTGAGAGAAGAATAAGAGGAAAAAGAAACAATTATGGGGAGTTTTTTCGAAGAAGAAGATGAAGAATTCTTTGATAGCTGCTCAGTTTGTTCCGATGAATGTATTTCTAGTCCTGATTTTGGCCTAGTCAACGGGTTTCCGGACAATTTTGATCAGTACAAGTTCTGGTCTATGTTCCCGGAAAGCGTTGATAAGCGTCGCCATAGATTCCGAACATGGATGGGTCTAGATTTTGATCGAAATTCAGTTTCCGGCGAAGATCGTGGCGGTGCTTGTATGGATGAACTCGAATTGGGAATTTACAGAATCTCACAAGATAGTGGGGTGGTGTTGAGAACATCAGCCACTGAAGATGGGGTCTCATCGAACCAGTCCTTTGTAGCATTCGAGTCTAATGATGCTCAAGAACCAGCTGAAAATTGTTCACTGGAGGGTCATTTCTCATATCAAGACAAGGATTTGGATGGTCGAATGCAATTGCTTGCGATTCAACAGAGGGGCTCAAGTAAATCTGTTACTTCTCAAGAGTCTGAGTGGTCCCCTGGGCCATCTCCTTTGGTTGATCTCGGCTTGCGTGTACAGGTCAGTGGAAGGTCTCGAACCAATCCGAAAAGGAAGGTGAAAAAGGGATGGTTAAGGAAATTAGGTGCCATAGCTCATGTAGTTGATAGGCATGTCGAAATTGCATCGAAGCACAGTAGTCATGACTCGGTATCAGGAGAAAAGATGAAAAGAGTCCGAGTTCATCCTAGTTGCAAGCATTCCAAGTAGTTATCTTCCCTTTATTGTGGCCAAGAATTTGTAGCACATGAAGGGTCCATCTCAACGATGAAGTTCAGTTTTGATGGGCGATTTCTAGCAACTGCAGGCGAAGATTGTATTGTGCGCATATGGAAGATCCTGGAGGATGAGAGTTTGGACAAATTCGATATTCAAGACCTTGATTCTTCATGTCTCTACTTCAGAATGAATCATCTTTCCCAGCTGACTCCTCTCAATGTGGATAAAGAGCGTATGGCTAAAATTAAGAGGTTAGGGAGATCATCGGATTCAACTTGTGTCATTTTCCCACCCAAGATCTTCCGAATTTCGGAGAAGCCGTTGCATGAATTTCAGGGACACAGTGGCGAAGTTTTGGCTCTACCATGGTCTAAGAAAGGGGTATGGTTCCTAGATTTCATCTTCCTTGTTAGATACTTAAATTGCAACTAAAGATGTCATATATGACATTTTTCGCTGCAGTTTATACTGTCGTCCTCTGTTGTTAAGACTGTTCGGCTATGGCAAGTGGGATACGATCGATGCTTGAGAGTTTTTTCTCATAACAATTATGGTAGGTCATTGTTTATTTACATGTTCTGTTTGATGAGCTAATTTATCATCTTCCAAGTTGCATGACATTAACATGTGTAACTCTTACTGTCAATGTAGTCACTTCTGTTGCCTTCAACCCTACGGATGATAATTATTTCATCAGCGGTTCAATCGATGGAAAAGTCCGCATTTGGGAAGTTCTTCGCTGCCGAGTTATTGATTATACTGATGTAATGGATATAGTCACTGCTGTATGCTATCGTCCTGACGGAAAGGTTAGTCGAGAATCTTGGGTTGTCTCCAGAAATCCTAATGAAATTTTGTTAATAAACCTCTTTGTTTCATTATTGTAGGGTGGAATCGTTGGATCAATGACTGGAAACTGCCTTTTTTATGATATCATAGGTACGTTCATCTATGAAATGCCGAAAAGTTTCTCAAAGAGTTGACTCTGTATAATTTTGTACGAAACATACAGAAAGAGTTCTGCTGGTATTTTCGGGTTGAACCTCAGTGAATCGTGTGTGTTATTTATCAGGTAATCGACTTCAAATCGATGAACCAATATACCTACAAAGCAAAAAGAAGTTGCCTGGAAAAAAGATAACCGGCTTTGAGGTGGTTAAGTTTAATCCTTGTGCGTGTTTCCTCTTTATTACATTTTTTTTGACAAATGAATGCTTATGTTTTGTTGTTGTTCAATTTCTAGTTCTCGCCTTGTGATCCAAGCGAAGTGCTAATTACTTCGGCCGATTCACTCGTCCGTGTCTTGTCCGGACGAGACGTCATATGCAAACTAAAGGGTCAGTGTTCGACTCTACATCGTTTTTTCTTATGTTGACTAGCATTTTTATGATTTAGTTTGTTTCATCTTCCAGCACCAGGCTTCCAGATAGCGTCAAGTCAGATATCTGCAACTTTCTGCCAAGACGGGAAACAGATCATCTCAGCCAGCGAGGATTCTAACGTCTACATATGGAACTACAGTAATCCGGAGAAGAACTGTCTGAAGGCGAAGAATGTTTCTTCCCACGAAAGTTTCCCGTCCCACAATGCATCGGTTGCTATACCTTGGTTTGGCATCAAACCTATTCCTGGACCGCTCACATCACCCAAACCGAGCGGCAATGAGCAGAGAAATGGCCTCGCAAACATGCAGAAGCATCGAAGTCCTAAGGTGGAGCTTGAACAACCGGTACCCCAAACTTCTCCGGATTGTTTCTCTCTGAAACGGGTTCTGATGGAGTCTTTGACAAGGGGGGTCGCGACTTGGCCTGAAGAGACACTTCTTAGTGTTAATCCGGCTACGATTGCTTCTGATATGTGGAAATTCGAGTTGAAAGTTCTGAAGAGTGCTTATCAAAGCATGTTAAGCTCTCACAAATGGGGTCTCGTGATCGTCACCGCAAGCTTCGATGGACGCTTTCGAACCTACCTCAATTACGGGTTACCTATTCGACTATAAGAACCGATACATATACAGATATAGATATAAAGAATACTCGTATGTAGACATATCCCTATACTCACCATGTTAGTGACAATAAATTCATGTGGTCCTTCACTGCATGTGGGTCTGGACCAATCATAGATTTTCCAAGTGTATATTGTCGGGGGTTTAATTTTGTTATTGGATCACACCGTATAGATGTCAGTTTATATACTGATTCTTTGATTTTTTTGCAGATTTTTACAGATTTTCAAGGAAATTTGTCTGTAAAACATATATATATATATGGATCACAACATGTAGATGTCAAGTTATATATGTATGTGTATGCAATTATGCATGTATCATGTATGTATAGGTGTTATGACTATAAATGAGTTTTGCTTATTTTATATGCATGTTTCTCTCCCATTGAGCATGTTAGTAGGTCCCATATAACATATTGCCTCGAAGATACTCTTTAAAAACCCCACGTATGAGCCTAGCCTTTAGAAAAAAAAAGGGTAAATTATGTGTTTAATAATTAAAATACTTAATATGTTTTAGTATTTAAACTTTTAATTTTTTCAAAATATATCTAAAATTTAGTTTTTATTTCATTTTAGTATTCATTCAAAATTTAACGTAAAGTTTAAGTATTAAAATATATCAAAATTTATAGTTTAAGGACTAAATACGTAGTTTATCCTATTTTTTATTATAGTAACATGTAAAATCATAGCATTAATCGTAGTATTGGTGCAAAACAACCCCTCTAATTAATATTAATTTCCATTAATGGCCTATAATTTTAGGTACATAAACCGAAATTGTATTTTCAACTTTGTATACATACCGTCATACTTTTTTCATCACGTGTGTTTTTGTATGGTTGATTTTGCTAGTTATATTTGTGATAATCAAAGGCGTTAAGTGGATCGAAAACTGCTTTAGGGTTTGCAGAAACCATGATTTCAGAGGCAGCCCATAACCTCGAAGCTTCACTGGGACTGGAACCCAGTTTCGACGTCCTTGATTCGTTGCAGTCTGCAAAGTATTTCCCACTGACATTCTCTACCGTCGGATGCGTTGCTACGTAACATGTCGTCGAAGCTGCCTGAAAAAGAACAATATCCGTTAATGTCCCATCAAAACTTCCCATTTTCAACTTGCTATACATGCATGTGTGTATGTAAATTACCTGAGGGATTGTCTTTAGGAGCCTTGAAGCTACAAAGAAAACCAAATCTGCATGTTTGCAGTAACAAGGAAAAGAAGTTAATCTTAAGCTACAAAGAATATTATATGTATGTATGTATGTATGTATAACCTGTGAAGAAGCCTTCACGTTCCCTGGTGAGACGAGTTTTAACAATCCCTGGATGAACACAGTTGATAGTCACATTGGCACCCATTTCCTGCAACCCAAATAAACAATATTTCTGAATATAATTTATCGAATCGAAATGAAATTCGGGTCATAAAATCTAATATATGTATATATGTGTGGTAGGAAAGCTACAAAATTTAACTTTTTTTAGGGTTTTAAACAGAAGAAGACGAAGGATCAATCAAACCTTCAGTCGCTGAGCAAGTTCCTTGATATGCAGAACATTAGCCAGCTTCGAGAGAGCATAAGCACATGTAGCATCGTACTGACTAGAGACAAAATACCCAGAAAAATAGTCAAATCGAAACCCTAAGTCTTTTAAACAATCATTTTTCTTGTTCTGTTCTGTTATTAATTGTGGTCTGAGTTAGTCATTGAATTCTTATTGTAACTCACCTTTTGTTTCTCGATATCTGGCCTAGATATCGGATCATGTTGCCGGAAAACCAGCCGTTAATGCTCGACGACACGTTCACGATTCTTCCTTGAACGCCGGTTTGTTTGGCCGTGTCGATCATCTTGTTCAACAACAGTTTTGTCAACAGAAAATGACCTAGGTAATTAGTGGCAAATGTCATCTCGATTCCATCCTCGGAGATTGCATGTTCATGCGTAAACTTGCCGGCGTTGTTTCTGATATTTACAACAAAACAAAACATGTTTATCGTCTCTCTCTTTTTTTCGCTTTTTCGGCAAGCAAACAATTCCCAATCATATATACTGTGCTTCTTATCCGACAAGAAAGCTAGGTAGTCAGTTAATCTCTTGTCTTTGTAACTGAAATTTAATTTCTTTTTTGCGTGATCTAAGGAAAGTGAGAGTCTAGTGGATTACATGAGGAGATTGAGAGGCAAGTTAAGCGACTCGAAATCCGACCCGAATTTTCGAACCGAACTGAGTGAACTCAGATCAAGAGCCATTACGATGATCTCCGAGTTAGGAAACTCTTTAACTATCCTCGCCTTAACTTCCTCCGCAGCTTTGAGGTTCCGAGCCGGAAGCACCAGTCTCGCCCCTCGCTTCGCCAACACCCGAGCCGTCTCGGCGCCGATCCCCGACGTCGCACCTGTTAACAACAACAACCTCACACAATCAAAACTCAAAAAGGATAAAAGTTGACAGAACCATGAATGAAAAATTACAACACGTTACCGGTGATAATGGCAGTGATGGAACGGAGATCATGGCAAGTCTCGGTAACTTCGTCGGCGGTGGACTTAGACCCGAACCCGCTCGCTCCTCTAGAACCGATCAGGTACTTCACGGTTTCAAGCATTTCCACCTTCTTCCGATATGGATTCCGATAGTTTAACGTTGAATAAAGAACAAGCAAATCTGTTTAAGGACGACAGAGATCAAAAGTGGAAGAATTTTATAGTGGAGCTTTGTGCAGAACCGAATCAAAATAAATAATATATTGTGTTATGTGTTTCGTCATTTGATTGATTACTGATAACTTAAATTATGTATTATTAGGGTTTATAGTTCTTTAGTTTCATATTAAAAATTGGGTCCTACTTTATTTATTACTATATAGTAACGTACTAAATATAAATATTTAAGTACATATTAATATGATTATTTTGTCTTACATATTTACGAGGGATTCATGGGCATTGTTGGAGAATTTATCCCTAGGAAGTGATGAACAATAGTATTTTTATCCTAGGGTCAAAACCATTAGTTTCACTCTAGCAATCTTATTGTAACGTGATAAAAGAATTATTGTTATTTTTTTAGGTTTCGGGTTCGGGTATTAAGAATATCAGAAGTATGAGTATTCAATATCAAATAATTGAGAGTTATCTTTGAACATATGTTCAGTTTCGTGGCTGGGGCGGTGCGAAACCGCAGGATCCCAAAAAATGGGAGCCCCAAAAAAATATATCTATAGTGGCGTTTTTCAATAAACGCCACTATAGATGGACCTATTGTGACGTTTTTCAAAAATAAAATTGTTGCGGTTTTATTTAAAAAAGGTCACTATAGATGGATCTATTGCGGCGTTTGTCAAAAAATGCCACTATTATTACTCAAAATCGAATATATCTAAAAAATAGGGGCCCTTTATAAGAATTTGTACAGGATCCCCGAAAATTTAGCGACGGCCCTGCATATGTTGCTTTGTACTTACTCTGAAGTAATAAAAAAATGTGTACTCTTAAAACGTTCATAATTTTATTTATTTGTTCTTTAATAGATTTTAGAGAGCGTTTTAAAGAGAATGTATAATTTAACCAATAAACTAATTGTGCTTAAGATTTTTTTAACAATTTTTATAACTTAGGGTAAATTATATGTTTAGCACTTAAACTAACAATTTTGATCCATTTTAGTACCTAAACTTTTAGTTTTTTTAAAATCATACTTAAAGTCTAATTTTTGTTTTATTTTAGTATTCATGTTCAAAATTTAATGTCAATTTTAAAAAAATTAAAAATTTAGGTGCTAAAACGGACCAAAATTAATAATTTATATACTAAATGCATAGTTTATCCTATAAATTAAGGTTTAATTATGTATTGGTTTGATTCTTATAGTGAGTTAATGACAATAAGGAATATAGAGAGGGAGATTTGTTCAAAGTCAAATAGTCAGAAGACAAAAGGTGATGGATAAAGAAGACAAAGTGTTAGTTTAGTGGGTGCACGTGTGCAGTGTTGGTTGGCTGGAGTGATGGTCGGCGATTAATTTAAAACGAATAAACAAATCGGTGGGCACGAGGGTTTAGGTCAGAATCGTCAATGAGGAATCGCACGTGAGGATTCAAAAACAACGTAAATCGGTCAATTCCACGCCCTCGAATCCTGCAATATCCTCTGGCTGTAAAGTTTTCCCCTTTGGTCAAATCATGTTTTCGTTTCCTTGTTGCCTAAGCTACAACTTCAAAATCATTATTAAAAGGTAAAACGGTGATCATAGGTCCTATACTTTAAAAAAAAACTAATGTGATCATCTAATTATTTTTCTCTTAATATGATCTTCCGACTCATAAAACAAACTTAGTATGGCCATTTTACCAATATTTTTTTATTCTTGACCGTTATGGTACAGGCATGACATTCTACAGTGCTGACATGACGGTCTACGGTACTGACGTAGCAATCCATATATCATATTTGAGTTATCAATTTAACTCATCTGTCATATCACCCGTCACGTTATAAACTACCATGGACCACCACGTTAGTACAGTGAAATACTAAGTTAGCACCGTAACGGTCGACGACAAAAAATTTGTCAAAGGGCCACATTAGATTTATTTTGAGTTGGAAGGTCACATTGAGAGAAAAATAATACGATAGTCACATTGATTTTTTTAAGTACAGAGACTTTTAATGTATTTTCGCCTTATTAATACTAATGTAATTTTAGTTTGTTTTTGGTCTAATTAAGCAAATACTAAGTAAACATTTGGTTAAAAACGCCATATAAATAATTTATAAATAATAAAATATATGATTCTAATTTCATTTTAATTCAAATTAATAATTTATATTGTAAATAAAATTGTTATAGGCAAAAGGGTAACTTTTATTCTTGTAGTAGACACAATTTATCACTTTAGTCCTATCTTGTTTTCGCATCAATTTAACCCTTGAAGTTACTCACTTACACCATTCTATACCCTACACTAACTTAAACCCTAAATCATAACCTCTAAACCATAATTTATAACTTAAGGTTTATAATTTAGGGTTTTAAGTCATGAGTAGGATATAAAATGATGCAATTGAACAATTTCGAGAGTTAAATTAATACGAAAATATGATAGGGACAAAAGTGATAAATTAGATCTACTACAGGGGCAAAGATGACTCTTAAACCATTACCATACATGCACTTCAAAGGAATAACATGTTCAAATGTTTTAGAAGGGAATATGATGCCTTACTCAAAACAAGGTTCCTTCCCCATGGGGCACTGGGAACTCAAGAAAGTGCTCCAAAAAGCTTAAGGGTTTATTTTATTTTTGTGACTTTATAAGCATAATTAGTTGTATTGTTTATGTAGTGACCATGAGGAGTATAATTAATTAATTTAATTGTTGATTGAAAGGTGACATCTTTGATTATCAACTAATCATTTGATTAAGCATGTATTTGTGTTCTATAATCTTGGGAAAGTTCATCCATATAAAGCCAAAACTTAACCCACGATCCCACATGTGATTGTGGATAGATTGAGGAGTTTGTTAATTAAGAAATTCATCATCAAAAGGCTTTGAATTTTGAGTTGGTTTCTTGGTGTGATGGAATTATTCAATAAAAAATACAAATGGATCCCAATCACTATGCAATTTACTCAAATTGTGGCCTTTAATTATATATATATTATAATTGAAATGTGCAATAAAGTATCTTTTCCTTTTCAAAATAAAACATAATAAAAACTTTAAATAAGTTTTTTTATATACTAAAGGGTAAATTACAAATTTAGTAACCAAAACTTTCTCTTTTATTTCACTCATTGTGCTTTAAATCTATTTCAATCTCTTCACTGAACTTAATACATTGGGTTTTTTTGTTACCCAATCGTTTCCTCACTAAAAGCATTATCCAAGGGCGGAGTTAGAAAAAAAAATTGGGGTATCAAATTTTTTTAAGTGAAAATATTAAATTTTAAATTTTGATCGTTAAATATATTTAAAAATATGCGCTCAATTTATTTTTTAAAATGTGACAAAACATTTCTAAAAGGGTGTCATTTTTTCTTTTATATTATATATTATATAATTTATATGGGTAAAAATGAAACTTTTGGAGTGTCAATTGACACCCCTTAATATATATTGGCTCCGCCAGTGGCGTTATCAATAAATAAAAACGTTGTTTTAACGTTGTTAATTATTTAACAACAAAATAACAAAAGAATCAAATATATTAAGTTCAATAAAGAAGTTAAAAACTTTTAAAATTCAGTTTCTTTACTTTTAAAATTCAGTAAGCAATATAAGAGAAAAAGTAAAATTTTAGTGATGAGATTTGTAATTTAACCATACTAAAATTAAATGTATGTGAACTTTAAGAATTTTAACATCAATAATGAATTGTTTTACTAAAATTCTTTGTTTAAGGTTTTTATAAATCATCAATAAGTCTGATAATTTCAGTACCAAAAGAGAATAATGATAAAGTAGAGGGACCAATAATAACTTGATACAAGTTTTAAGCTATTTTGAGTTCCATTAATTGTTTAAACGAAACATAAACATCCTACGAAATGTGTATTCACCCAGCAAAGCAAACGAAGCAAGCGGGAATAGTTTTATCCCTTTCGAAACATCTATCAAAATTAGTACAGTATCTCATTTCACCCCAACTCTAACATTCTCATCTGAATTCATCAGTGGCGGCAGCAATTAGGGATTCTTTTTACTAGAGCTCATCATGCGAATCATCTTCTTCTTCGTTCGATGCACCGCCACCCGGGGCTCCGCCGGATCTTTGATATACAGCCGTGATGATAGGGTTGCAAACAGCCTCAACCTCCTTGAGCTTCTCCTCAAAGTCTTCCTTCTCGGCATTCTGGTTGTCATCAAGCCACTCGAGGGCCTCCTTAACTGCCGTTTCGACTTTCTCCTTCTCGTCAGATTCGAGCTTATCGGCAAGCTTATCCTTGTCACTAATCTGGTTTTTCATGTTGTAAACGTACGTCTCCAGGCTGTTGCGAGCATCGATCTTCTCCTTCACCTTCTTGTCTTCCTCTGCGAATTCTTCTGCCTCGCGAACCATTCTCTCGATCTACCCTTATCGTTGGTGATTGTGATCTTCTCCGATTTACCCGTGCCTTTGTCTTCGGCCTTGACGTTCAAGATACCATTTGCATCGACTTCAAATGTAACTTCGATTTGAGGAGTTCCCCTGAGGAAACGATAAGTGCCGGTAAATTCAACTGAAGGTTTGCAGAAAGCATAAAAGATAGTTGATGTAAGAGAGGAGCAAACCTTGGAGCTGGAGGAATTCCAGTAAGATCAAACTTCCCAAGCAACCTACAGTCCTTTGTGAGACTCCTTTCACCTTCAAAGACCTGCCATATCACAAAAATTCACATAAGCTCGAAAGCTATAATGATTCGATTTTTCAGTATTTGCTTTGACAATCATATCAACCATCCAGAAGTAGAATGCGACATTTCGGCTTTCTAGATAGATGGAAAAAAGAAATCTCAACAACATATCCGCATTGGACATATATGACCAGTTTGGAGTATTAACGAGAATCGTGTTTAATTGTACCTGAATGGAGACGGTGGTTTGCTGATCCTGATAAGTGGTGAAAACTTGAGACTTTTTGGTTGGGATGACGGTGTTTCTAGGAATCAACTTGGTCATCACTCCACCAACAGTCTCAATACCAAGGGTAAGGGGAGCCACATCAAGAAGAAGAATATCTGTAAACATTTAGATTCGGTTAGAACAGTTTTCATCAGCTATAGGTTTGTCTAGTTATGATGGGGATGAAAATGCACCTTTGGTTTCATCACCACCCTCTCCGCTCAAGATGCCTCCTTGTACTGCAGCACCATAAGCAACGGCTTCATCCGGGTTAACACCCTTGTTGGGCTCCTTTCCATCGAAGTAGTCCTTAAGGAGTTGTTGAACCTTAGGAATTCTAGTGCTTCCACCAACAAGAACAATCTCATCGATTTGGCACTTCTCCAAACCTGCATCTTCCATTGCCTTCTTCACGGGCCCCATGGTCTTTCTGAACAGGTCGTTATTTAACTCCTCAAAGCGAGGCCTGGTCAGCGGCTCAGAGAAATCGATACCGTCAAAAAGTGATTCAATTTCCACGCGGACCTGGTGCTGGCTGCTGAGAGCTCTCTGGGCACGCTCAGCTTCCCTCCTGAGCTTCCCAAGAGCCCTGTTATCCTTGCTGATATCCTTTCCATGCTTTTTCTTAATCAGTTTAATAAAGTATTCCATAATCCTCTGGTCAAAATCCTCACCTGCAAGAAAAATGACCATAAGTAAAATTCATAATGAAAATTGAAAAGCAACTTTTAAAAACCAAAAACAATATTGACGCTTACCTCCCAAATGAGTGTCTCCATTTGTGGAAAGAACCTCGAATACACCATTGTCAATTGTCAAGATACTGACATCAAATGTTCCACCACCAAGGTCAAAGACAAGAATGTTTTTCTCACCACCCTTCTTGTCCAAACCATAGGCGATGGCAGCTGCAGTTGGTTCATTGATGATCCTTGCCACATTGAGCCCAGCAATAATACCGGCATCCTTGGTGGCCTGCCTCTGGGCATCATTGAAGTATGCTGCAAATCAAACAGAGAGATAATTTGAGCATCAGAAAGGATCATACAAACATAATCGTTTTTGTCCCAAAACGAGATGAATATTTCTTATGATGCACTCACAAGGAACAGTGACAACTGCATCCTTGATTTTCTTCCCAAGGAAAGCCTCAGCTGTTTCCTTCATCTTAGTTAGAACCATAGCACTGATCTCCTCGGGGCTGAAGACCTTGGTCTCTCCATCCTTAATCTTTACTTGATTATAAGGCTTTCCATCCTTGTTCACAATCTTATATGGAACAAGTTTCATATCCTTCTGGACCTCCTTATCATCAAACCTGCAAAGAACAAATATGCCGGTAAGCATTCTCTCCCAATCTGTCCCAAAAACACAATACAAGAAACATATGAATTACTTTCTTCCTATAAGTCTCTTGACATCAAAGATGGTTCTCTCCGCATTAACAGCTGCCTGGTTCTTTGCAGCCTCACCAATCAGCCTCTCGCTGTCTGTGAAAGCCACTCAAGATGGTGTAATACGGTTACCTTGGTCATTGGCTATGATTTCAACATGACCGTTCTTGTAAACGCCAACACAAGAATAAGTTGTACCGAGATCGATTCCAATGACCGTCCCCAATTTCGTGGCTTCCTCCTTTGCAATTGAGATTGCAAAGAGACATCCTGTTCCAAAGCTTAAACAATATTAATACATAATGCCATTAAATGCAGCCATTATGTTCACACAGATGAGTTCAAATTTAAACTACTAACGAATTAGAAATTGATATAGGAGAAAAACAAACTGTTTTTACTCGTCCAAAACAATATTGAAAATTTTATGGTAAACTACTACAAAATTAGATAAAAATTATATTCAAACGAATTAGTCAGTCATTCTATGAATCCAGATATTTCTAGTACTCGAAACAGTACATAGAAATCAAACGATACGAGATCGCCGAAACTCTCACTCACGATCTAATGCGTCACTAGAACTAGAACACCTGAAACACCAAACATGCACCATCTAAACGCAAATAAAATCACCAAACAGAGCTAAATCCACTTCATTTCCAAAAAAAACGAATCGTAAATCAATAAAACAGACACAGTCAATCACATAAAAACAAGCAGATCTAGCTGAAAAAAAAGAGCTAAGAGCAGCAGCACAAAACTCACCGAACAAGACTATCGCCGTCACCACCAAAGAGCCGCGTGCTCTCCACGAGCCAGCCATCGCACGACCTCAATTCTCGTCTCTCGAGTTATTTCCTCTGAAAATCGCTGAGTGAGAGCGAGTCGCGGTTCGAGTGTTTTTATATCTGGATCGCCCCGAATCTAACGTTGGCTTTTCAGTTTTCTCAGGCATGCGTAAAATGAATGAACATGTCATCGGTGGTGACGTGCACCAATAATATTGCGAGTACGGATATGTTAAGCCAATGAAATTAGATCTCTTCCGTTGAGGAGATCCTGGCCGTTAATTCTCCCGGATGTTTGCGTGTCCGCTTCCCGCTCGTTTGCTTTCACTAATTATAAACAGAATGACTTTGACTAGTAGTTAGGCAGCAGATATCAAAACGCGCCACTGTAGCGTCGTTTTGAACTAACCCATAACTTTGAATTATCTTTTTATTGTTTTTTTTTTCTTATATAGTATCTCTATTTGGTTTTTTTCTTTTTAATAAATTCATCTTTATGGCACATTTTTATCTATTTTTATGGCACATTTTCATCTGTTTTTGTGACACGCTTTCTTTTGTCTTTTGACATATTTTTGGGTTGTTTTATCGTTTTTCTATTTATCATTTTTTAAGAATTGATTTAACATCGACTGATCAAGTCGTTGCTTATTTGATATTTTGTTAATCTTCCATGCTTTGAACCCTCAGAGAGGATTTTGGATACTTATTTATTTTGTTTCGTGGATAGTTTTTCACGTCGCTCAAGTTTAATTTATAATTTTGTCGGTGATCTTTCAATAGTTTGATATCATTTTATGGTTCATTTGTCGATTTGATTAATCTATTTGTATCTATCTTTGTTCGAATTTATTGGTTGGATTTTTAATCTTTCCTCGTATGCTGCTTATGATCTTAAGTTGATAGTTTTGTTTGAATGATTATAGGAAATTGTCCTAATTATGTGTTTAATTTATTATTATAATTATAAATATATTTATTATATTTTAAGATATTTTATATTTTGAATAAAATTAGTTACTTTCGATGAAAAAATAAGCATATAATTTAATGAGTAAGGAATAAGAATAGATAAAAGGGTAAGCTAGGTTTTTAATAACTAAATTATCAATTTTGATTCGTTTTAGTACTTAAACTTTGGGCGTTCAGATGTTACAAGGACCCAATTAAAAGGCCTAAAGAGTTAGAGGACTTGATGGGCAGAGTAGAGAATCTTCTGGTGCAAATATGCACCAGTTTGTAATGTCTGTAACTCTTCAAATATGCACAAATTTCCTATTAAAAGACTAGTGCAATGCCTACACGAAAAGAACTGTGCAAGAGCTACTTGGACCATGCAATGTTGATTGCTACCTAATAATCTCTTTTGGTAACCTCAAAATTTACTTTGAGGTGACAGGAAGTTAGTGCCCTAGACTTTTGCGGTGTTTTGCTAATGGATGTTTGATAATTCCACAAAGCTTTTTGAGTAGTTGCCATTCAAACAGCACCTTCTAAGCCGGTATAAATCTGCATATTTTCTCCGTTTTTAGCAGTACTGCCACCATGGGTCCTGCTGCTAAACTCATAGCTCTCATCCTCTTGTTAATCTATCTCGATCCGTTTATATGTCAGCGAAAGATTTCGATTCATACAAATTGGTTTATGACAGTTCTGAAGGTGGTTTAATCGGAATATTTGGTTACATTTTGCAGTCAAAGTCGAAGGCTTGGATTCTTCTGGTGCACCACCCTCTGTTGACCCTGCAATTAATGAGGTAACTTCAACACCAAGGGATCTGAAAATTTTCAATCTGTCGTGGAACATCTCTAAAAGATGCGTTTACCATTGAAGTCCGATTAGAAAGGAAAATCGAGTTGTCATTGAATCACTCACATATGCTAGTTTTGAAGGATACGATACAGGTGAAGACAATGAAGCTGAAACTAGAGGTTGACACCATAAAGGATTATACTCCGACCATGCCAAACCATAAACACGGTCCACCACCAAGAGGAAAACCGTGACAACCGCCAGCGGTGGCGGCAGCGGCAGCTGAACTTGAATCTAGAAGCATTAGATAATGCCTACTTGTTTTCTGGATTGTGTCCGTTAGTGAAAATTATGAGCAATTATCTGCTTTTAAATGCAAGAAACAGTTGTTCCTTTCATAAAAGAGGATCAGAAAACCGTTAAGAACTAGATGTTTGATCAGTAATTTCTAAATTTAAATTCAAGGTAAAATTAATCAATCCCTCGCAAACTTCTGCATATTTCCAACTTAAACTATCTTTTTTTAATCCACCCAAATTCAGACAGTTGTCAGGTACAAAATCACTGAGATGAAATTTACTACAAGGGAAACGACAAAATGGACTTAAATTAATACGCCGTTCACATTTTTATTTGATTTGCACAATTCCGGCGGTGACCAGCTTTTGGATCTTGTTCATCACCATTGGATTCTTCATGTGTTCTTGTGCTGCCTTTGGGTTCTCCTGGAAATCAATCAAAACCTGTCCAAATCCCCATTTTCAGTAAACCAGACATCAAAGTATCCAGACATGTTCACATTATAAGTAATCCCAGCACTTACCTGTCTCATGACAGGATCCGAGAGAATGTTTTGAATTTCAGGATCTTGCATTGCCTTGGCCTGGCAACAATATCACATCAATTTAAGTTCACATCGCCATACTAAACAGCTTTGTGTGAATCCAAATGAGAAGCAATGACATAAAGGGAATTCCTCAATACTCACCTGTCTTTCCTTCAGCTCTTCAGGGGTGAAATCACCTCGACTCGCTTTGTTAATCTGTTCCACACATCTGCAAAATAATTGAGAGAACCAAGTAATTATATACGGTACTGATATAGGAACACAAACCAAAACTTCGAAAAGGGAGAGCTGCATACCTTCGGATGCCATCGAGCAGTTCCTGGTTATTGGGATCATGTTTCAACCCTTCCTGGTATGTTTCTAAAGCTTTGTCATACTCCTTCATGAAGAACTGAATGGCACCTTTTCTTGTGTAACCCTTAGAAAAGGTTGGATCAAGCTCAATGCACTTCTCAGCATCTTTCAGTCCCTCAGGCATTGCACCCAGTTTTGTGTAGCATGCAGCTCTGTTGCTGTATGTCTGACATGCAAAATGAATTTTTACAATCAACTCGATACTGTTTGTTGTGCCTTTGCCTATAGTCACCAACAAACTCACAAGAAAGGAAATAGACTTCTTACCCTTGGATCTTTGGGGTTTCTTCTCAATGACTCTGTATAATGCTTCACAGCCTCAGGATACTTTTGCTGCTTGAAAAATTCATTCCCTACAAATATATTTGCGCCGTCAGTAAATTAACTGCATACGACAGTCAGTGAGCAAATTTAAAGAACCATAAGTTGTTGGTCTTATAAACAAAAAGTGATGAAAAATACCTTTCTCACGCTCCTCATCCGCTAGCTTTGGATCGAAGTACTCTTGTTGTTCCAAATCCTTTTTCGCTTTTTCTGCTTCATTTAGTTTCTTCAAAGTGTCTGGATTGCGATGCTCCGTAAGAGCTTTCTGGAAAGTCTCTATAGCTGCTTCGTAATCTTTTGAGCATTTCGCCATCTTCACCAAAGCAGTCCCCTTCCTAGTCAAAGCTCTTGCAATCATTTTATAGTCTGCTCTGAGCTCTCTACCTTTTTCAACAGCCTTGTCACAATCTTTAATGCAATCCTCATACTGTACTCAACACAGACAGTAAGCAAGGAAAGGGCAGTTCAGTTAAATGCATGTACAATACACTGAGAAGTGAGCACTACACCCAAAAGCAGAACAATTTCGGAGCACAGAGCATACTACACAATGCCAAAGAAACTTCTCCTATCATCTCCTATAGGGAAGCAACTTAATAAAATTGATATAAAATAACAATTATAAGTTCACATCTATCTAAACCAGAACTATCAAACCTTCAGTTTGTATCCGTAACATAGAAGAAAAGGATGGCTAAAATCAATTGAAGACCTCCATTTCCTGTTTTAGGAAACAACTAGACCTGTAACTACCGCCTCACAATAACTTGACAAGTCTGTCGCACAAGAATAACAGAGCATGCTTGTGACTTTGTTTTCATGTTTGTATACAACACCAGTAAAAGCTAAATGATTGAGCAGACGCCCAACATAGCACTCAAAACCATTCCATCATAAATTCATACATGTCCACAACAAAAAATAATTCTCGACTCGATTGCAATTTAAATCATTGAACATGAAAAGATTATATTAAAAACGTACGTTTATTCTGAGATCTATCTTAGACCAGAAGAAACCCAACAGCTAATATCATTCTAGAGCAATGTCTACTCATTAATTATTTTGTTCTTAGATCAAATTAGCAAGAATGTTTCTAATCTAGGCCACCTAAATTTATAAGTTCTCAGCTGGAAGAAAATATATATAAAAATATAAGATCAACCGACAGTTTCTAAACTTTATTAGCATTGTAAAAGCACCGACATTTAATGAAGTAAATTTTCTAGCTTCTAAACAAGTAAATATAAATAAACATACCTTGCCCATTTCCAAATAAACAGCAGCCCGATTGGTGATGTACGAAATATCGCCATCATCAAGCTCCATTGCCGTCGTGTAATGCTGAATAGCCGTCTCGAAATCCTTCTTCTTATATGCAGCATTTCCAGCTTCCTTCTCCTTTAAAGCTTTCTTCTTCTCCTCCTTTTTCTCTTTCTCCTCTTCCGCAATTTCCATCGTTTCTGGTTCCGGCTCGGGCTTCTTCACCTCCTCCTTAGCTGCCCGTGAAGGCTGCGGAGTTGGAGGCGAATCCGCCTCCGGAATATCCATGTCATCCCCACCATTATGCGCATTAAGCTTAACATTCAACAAAACACCCAAAGCTTGCATAACCCTCTGATCCTTGAAATACTCATTCAATTTGTTGGGATTTTTCTGAATCTCCTGCATCGCCTTAACAAAATCCGGCTGCTGTAAATAAAGCCTAGTTGTCGGATCGGCAGTCAACTTAGCCCACATCTCAGCCCCCTGAAAAGCATCGCCGAACGGACTAGGTGGAGGCGCCGCCCTAGATCGTGAAGCCGAAGCCGATTGAGCATCAGCCAATCCAGACTTCAGAGTTTCATTATTAGGATCAATCTCGAGACCTTTTCTATACGCCGAAATCGCGTCTTCATATTGGTGCAAACCGAGGTGAGCCGCGCCGAGCCTGCTGTAACCTTTGGACCAGTCGGGTTTAAGTTCGACGGTCTTTTTGGCGTCGCATAATGCGGCATCATATTGGTGGAGAGAAGCGTAAGCCGCGGATCGGTTTGAGTAAAGTACATGATTGGTCGGAGCGAGGTTTATAGCTTCGGTGAAGTGTTTGATTGCAGTGTTGAAATCGCCGGAGGAAAAGGCGGCGTTCCCTTTGGCTTTGGCTTCGTCGGCCATGACAGTGGAATCTGTTGGCTCCGAATTCTGTTCCCGGGGAAGACAACGGCGATTTTGTGGGGTAATTTTGAAAATTTTTAAGAAATTAATGTAATTTATAAAGAGAAAGAAGTTAGCGGAGCAGACCAGAGACTTCTGGTGGTTCTCGAACCTTCTTCCTCTCGGCTTTTCGAGTAGTCTACCTGGAATTTAGGGGATGTTTAGTTATAGGTGATTAATTAGTGAGTAAATTACGAGTTTAGTATTTTAAACTATCACTTTTAATTATTTTTAAAATTATACTTAAAATTTAATTTTTATTTTATTTTAGTATTTTGTTTAAAATTTAACATTAAATTTTAAAAAAATATTAAAAATTTAAGTATTAAAATTGATAGTTTAGATACTAAACGTGTTAAATTTTTAATTATGTGATATTAAAATAAAATAAATACTAAATATTAAATATAATTTTAAAAAAATTAAAAGTATAAGTACTAAAACATATAAAGGTGATAGTTTATATTTTAACTTGTAATTTACTCAGGGTAAACTACATATTTAACGCCTAAACTATAGATTTTGATCTATTTTAGTACTTAAACTTTCATTTTTTTTTAAAATCATACCTAACGTTTAGTTTGTATTTTATTTTACCTAAACTATTAGTTTTGATTCATTTTAATATATAAACTTTCAATATTTTAAAAGTTAATGTTAAATTTTGAATGGGTAATAAAATAAAATAAAAACTAAAATTTTTAACGATGAGGTGTTAAAATAAAACAAAAACTAAACTTTAGTTATAATTTTGAAAAAAGTTAAAAAATTTAAATACTAAGATAGATCAAAACTGATAATTTAGATACTAAACGTCTAATTTACCCTTAAATTTAATACATAAAATCTCATTGAGTAGTTTCAATGATAAAAAAAATATTTATTCTTCGATCCAAATTTAAGCAGTTGCGTCTACAAAATGTAGATGCTATTAATATGTTAAAAAAATTCTAAACATATCTGCGCTACAAAAATTCATAGAACAGAACCAGATTTTCCCTATGCAAATTCTGATTTGTATTGCATTTTCTACTTCAGAGTTCTGTTACATATATATCCAAAAAACTGATACGTGAAACTTGGAATTTAAAGGAGCAAAAGAAGAGTAAAGTTGCAGTTCATATTATGGACCAAAAATAGTGTTTGGATGCCAGGAAAATAAATAACAAATCAAGCAGCAACTTCTTGTTGTTTCGAAGCAAGCTCGTTCTGGATATGTTGAGGGACAACATCAAACTTGGCCAACTGCATCGTGTAGGATGCTCGGCCTTTTGTCATACCTCGGAGAGTGCTGACGTATTGGAACATCTCGGCTAGCGGAACAAGGGCATCCACCACCTGCGGTTAATCCGACACAAATCGACCAACACGATAAGATTACAAGAAAATGTATCTCTTCGTCTCTAATCGAAAACCGATGCTAGTGGAAACATACCATTTGGTAAAAAAGCATAACACAACAGCACATGTTCATAGTCTAGTAATACTAATTAGTTTAATGGATGCTTTCTAGGAATGGTCAAATGAAGAAAAAAACAACTCAGACTCCTGTTTTCCT